TGTGTGTGTGTGTGTGTGTGTGTGTGTGTGTGTGTGTGTGTGTGTGTTATAAGCAGCTAATCCTCTTGTCCTCTGATCCCACAGATCCCTCTGCTCCAGAAGATGATGAGCTCACAGTGCCAATCAGCCATCTGAAGAATCAGGCCAGAGACTCGTCACTCTGAATCCTTCGACATTTATCTGCCTCAAGCATGATTTTTTTTTTTTTGAGGAGTCACCCTCTGACCCCTTATGCAACTGCCTTTGACCAGAAACACTTGACATCCACCAAGAAGTTTTAAAAAAATATATATATTTTTAAGAGGTTTTTTTTTTTTATTTTCTAAAGGAGAATAAATCTGGGGCCTTAACTTCCAAAGGACCAGACTATATGTATCTTCTATTGTTTTTTGTTCTAGACGCATCGGTCCTTATCACACTGCACTAGTTGTCTACGATTGTATGCTGCAATCCCGTTCAGTCATCCAAAACAGACTCGGGTGTTTTTAAGAGACAAAAGTCTGAGCTGGCTCACTTTCAACGTGTTGGTGTGAAACACTATTTTTAGAAGGAGAAAAAAAACACTGGAAACAGTCTAAAACATTAAGACCAAATCTGAATATTGTTGTCTTCTCCGGACCCGCTTAGGTTTCTGCCTGAAGTTTGGTGTTCGGGTGTGTGTTCACCTCGGGAGCAGAGTGTCCCAGCTCCGGCCCCGTCGCCCTCAAACAGCAGTCAGTTAGTGAAGTAACTTGCAGTAGACTGTGCCCGGTGTGGAATAGTGCAGCTTTCATTTCCCCTTTGCTTTTCATTAGACAACTCTAACTCTATTACACTTAATGCTCCCCAGCCCCCCCCCCCCCCCACTGTGATTGTAGAATTTTTGCAGCGTATTACAATATCGGTAACATATGAATCACCCGTATGATCGTTCTGACCTCACAGTACACCGTCATGTTGTCTTCTCGTTCTGATGTGCAGTGCCTGTTCACCACTCAAGTGCCCAAACCTTAGGACGGTGGTTTGGTTTTAGTATGTCACTGTGTTATAGATGGATGATGTTTTAATATTGCTCCCTGTTTTCCTGACATCTGCTTATACTAACAACCGTGTTTACTCTTCACTTTTGTCCCGTGTTTAGACACCTAGGCAGATACAAACACTAAGCAAACACATAAGACGAAGCCATACTTAGAGAAGATTAGCCTTAAAAGATAACCCCGGACGCCTGCCAGGCCTACTGAACGTTTCTTTATATCTCAAGGTAGCACATGGTAGACGTTCAGGGGCTGAGCTTTAATTAATTTTGTAACCCTCCGACTCGGATGTGGTGACGTGTTTTCTCCGAAGTCGTTTTAAAACGTTCACTTTTTTGCGGACTGTGTGCGTGTTTTGTAACCTTTTAAGACGTCCCTGCGGGTCCGAAAGTTGCCGCTGTCTCTCTTATCTGACCACACCCGATCTGTGATGACAAAGCAGGAATAAGATGCGACGTTCGGTCGGTCCGCACCTCGTTAAGTTGGAAGATAAGCATGTGATCGGGTTGTAAACACGTGCGTGGTGTTTGTGCTCGGGAGGGCTTCAGTTTGGTAAAGGTAACCAGCAGTTGGACTGTTTACTTTTTCCTGCTGCAGCAGCATGTAAACCTAAGTGAAGCTTAAACTCTCTTTTTTTTTTTTTTTTTTTCCTTGCCTTCAAAGGCCACAGCATTTCAACCCTTATTTAGTTACTCTTCAACATGAATGAGCCTTTTGTTGTTAGATATTCGAACATTTCATTTTCATATCACACTTTTTGCCGCATCATCCAACCTGCTTGCAGTGAAGTAGGGCTGCCCCCTTTTTTTCCATTTTGTGTTTTGTCTTCTGGGCTAATCGTGAATCATCATTAACCACTCTACAGAATCTGTGATCTTTTTTTAAATGTGTTGTTCTAATCTTGCCACTGACGTTACGAAGTTATTACAGTCGCACCGTTTTCTTTACCTTCTGTGAATAAACATGAGGCTCGTGGCTCGAAATTTCACCTGGTTTCTGTTTTTGACAAAAATGTTACAATTCCCGCCAAGTTCCAACGTATGTCTCTTTTACTAATGCCGTGAAATTGCTGCCTTGTTTTGTGCAGATACAATAATACTATTAACATGTAGACGTGTAATATTCTTCATCATTTGAAATGGGCCAGTATTTTTATAACCAGCGATTGGCAACCGCTTATATCAGTCATTAGCCAAGATCGCCGCCGCCTCGTTTTTCAAACTGAGAAGTCACAGCAGCCAGCAGTCGACGCTTCAGTGTTGTCTTTTAGAGATCGAGACAAATGTCATTTTTCAATCTGCTGCGCGCGACAGATGGCTGACAGTTCTCATCATCATCATCATCCGGCAAGAAACACACAGCGGCTGATCTGCAAATGTAAAACTACCCACTCACTGTAGTTTCTGAATACACTTAAGATGACAAGTGGAGCAGTTGCAGAATCGTCTGACAGTTTAAAAAGTGGCCACTCCCATGATGTGTTTTTTTTTTATTTTTTTTAACATATCTGAGATTAATCAACTGTGAGTGTTTGTTTCCAGCCTGGCGTGAGGTTAACTCATCTAAATAGTCTGGTTAAACACTTTGTAATGCTCCTTTTATTGATTTTGTTTTTGTACACAGTGCCTTTGTTGGATAATAAAGAGGTCGTTGTATCGGGAATTTACTGTAAAGCAAAGACTGGCTTATAGAACATCTGAACGTTATACGTACAGTGTTCATCTGTACGTTGTTTGTTTTTCTTCCTGCTTTTTCTGTTTTAACTTTACATTCTGTGATACAAAAGTACAAAGGAACACTCACGAAAATATATATATATAATTAAATGATAGATATAAATATAGCATTTAATAGATTCACCTTTAAAATCTGGTGTTTCATTTATTTGGCCGTTATATTTTGTGCCAAAAATAAAATGTCTTGATTTGTCTAATAAGAAAAGAGGCAACTTTGTGTTGCTCAAAGTGAAATGTTGGAGAACGTGATTAAAGACCAAACACTAAACAGACCTACGCCTTAACTCTCGTCTTCACCTGAAACATGTCCATCTGTCGTTGAAATATTCTGTAATCTCTATGAAAGTCATACTGTGGATTTATCTTGTAGCTTCTCATGTTACACTGGCCTTTGGAAAACTGGTCGAGCATGGCATTTTTCAAGCATGTCTTCATGGTGTTCTGTGTTGTGCGCCGCCCTATAATAAACATTATACCACTTCCTGTTGGCCTCGCTGTCCGTCTGTTCCAGTCTGTCCAGGCCTGACTTCGTAGAGAAAACACAGAATTCCTTAAAGTGTCACTTCATTAGTCGTGGAGCCTTATTCCAAAGAAGATGATCTGGCCGACTAACACCGGCACATTTGCAGAAATGCTGATTAATGTGAATCCTGCATATAAATAAAGAAAAAGACTATGTCTTAACATTAAGGGTCATGTCCCCCTGCAGCTGATGGAGGACGTGTCTGTACAGCCCGACTCAGAGACGGTTCACATTCCACCCGAAGAGGGCAGTCACCTCACAAACACCGACAGACGACACAGATACTGCAGCAACAGACTTCAGTACCAGCAGTCAGACTACAGCTATGACTAAAAACTCATGTATTCACACAAGCAAATGATGTATCACAGCGTGGAGGCAGTTATTTTAATGTTTTTTTTGCATGTTTAAGATAATTTACTGTTTTCTAAGATAATACAATGTTGTTTTGAATTTTTGAAAAGTGAGCTTGTGGGTTCATTTTAATAATTTTCTGTACTGTAGGAAAATCAAACTTGAGTAACCTGGGAAGTTATTTGAGGTAGGAAGTGCTAAATAAATAAAGCTTTAATCCTTGACTCACTATCATTTCACTTCATTTTAATAATATAATATAATAAGCCCAGTTGCCCCTCCTTAAAATGTCTCTGCCTAGAATGTGAATAATGATTTAACTTTGCATCTCATGTCACTGGAAACATCTTTAGTGTCTCAAAACATCTGATATACGTCCCTTCTTAATTATATACCTGGTGTTCCTGGTGATATTAAAAGGGCTTTTCTTTTTGGTTAATCAAAGTGTAGACCTGATCCACACTGCATGCAAAATACCTTTTTTTTTGTGAAATAAGTGCAAGCATTAACCTGCCAGACTTTAACTCGTGTACAGCTCGGTTTGGGGCCTTCAGACGCAATCTCCTCAAATCTTAAAAATAAAATGATGTGGCTCACATTACTCCAGGCCAGATGTTTCACACCTCTGAAGTGGAAACATGAACTACCCTCAGATAATGACAGATGATATAAAAAAAAAAGTTTCAAATAGGCAAGAAAGAATAAAATGATCACTCAAAGTTTTCTTTTTTTTTATACTCCAGACACTTATGTTGCCCCGGAGGATGATCAAAATCAAGCTCTTTAATAATGTCTCTCTCACTTTTTGTCTTTCTCCAGACTCTTAATTAGTCTGCTTGAATAAAAACTTATTTCCACAGTGTTATATTCTGCTATGATGGGGGTGAGGAGGGAGGGAGGGAGGCCAGACAAAGAAACATGTGGTAGACACTACATGATGTCACAGCATTAACAATTCCTTTACTTGTCCTTCACCTAACTGCAAACAGTTTGATCAAATGAGAGCTTCCTCCCTTTCTGTCTCTACACGTGAGGTGAAGAATAAAAAAATTATCTGTGAATGCAAATGGAAAAAGTGTTGCATTTCTGCAGCAGATAAGGAGCCGGAGAGACAGATAGTCCCACCTCCATCTTTATCTGTGTCCACAGCAGGACCTCCCACGCCCTGACTGGGGAGTGTGTTACCATGTAGCCATGTCCCGCCTAACTCGGACCTCCGTTATGTCACATGTTCATACAACAGCGTTCCATAAACAGAGCAGTTACTGAATTGAAGTATTACGTCATTGTCCCCCCCCCCCCCCCCATGCAGGTTTACACTAAACTGTGATAAATGAACTTGACCTTAAAGTAGTGGTGTAATGGTGGCTGGAGACGTGAGTATACTGTGAATACTTCCATGCTAATGACTTGGCGTCGCAGCAGGTACATTCATCAGCGTGGCTCGAGAAGTCACTGGACTCGGTACATAAATGAGGTGGCAATATTCCTGTGTGCATCCTGCACGACACGACTCTGATCTTGTTCAGTTACCGCTTCACAAGCGTTTGCGGAGAGTCTCAGGCAGAAGTTAAGAGAGCAAAGTCCCCCGCAAAGACAAAGACAGTCTATTATTATGTAAGGGACAAACTGTCAGGGACTGAAGACAAATGACACCGTTATCACCGTCCAGGCATAATTTGATGATGCTGTGAATTTGACGTGCGGTGACCGACTAACACGTCTCATAAAAAATAAAAAAATGTTTTTAAAAACAGATCTCAGCTGCTCTCCACATCCTGGAATCTAGCCCAGTGCATGAAAAACAGTTTAATAAATCAGATGACATGCCATCAGCTGACATATTGCAGCATTAAATTCCAATCCATGAAAGACCATCACGCATAAATCCAAGGGCTACGAGATTCAGAGGACTCGGGATGCATCGCCACATTATGCGTTTTAATGGGTGTTTAGGTTTACTGCTGGGTGCTTTTCATTAGACATGTTTGACCAAGAAAGGTCAAAACTCACAAGTAGTTTCTGTGAAGTGGTTCGGACCTGAAGAATATTTGGGGAAATATGAGAAATATTGAGTGCTTAGGGAAGCAATATGTATTGCTGCTGCTGTTAAGTCAAACTGATTCATATACAAAAAAATCAAGTCTGGCACAAAATGACATTTTAAATGATTAAAAATAGTAAATGAATGAAAGTTTTTCCTAAAATATTAACGAATGAGATGAAAGATCAAAAAAACTCAAAAAAGTGAGTTGCTTCTGCTCACAGTTTTCATTTTTAAATAACGGTACATGCAGTAAAAAAAATACAAAATGGCAATCATGTGCAGTCCTGTTTTTTTTTGCCGGGTGTAATAAGGGCGTGGGCAATCATCGGGCCAGACGCAATCAGGTCAGGACCAGATAAGGAAAAGTTCACCCCGTGCTGTCTGGTCCACCCCAGATGTCATCACAGTATGCTAATGAGCCGGGGGCCTTTAAGTGCCGGAGCCCAGCAAGCAGACCAGTTAGGAGCTCCAGACGTGGACACATGGCGGCCACAGAACGGGAACGCGTGGAGGAACGTGTCGGCGAGCCGTGAGAGACGCCATACAACATGCAAGAAGAAGAAGAAGGTGAGTGTGTGCTACAGAGAGGAGGGCGCTTTGTGGCTCTGCAGCAGGTCACAGAGCTGTGGCTGTAGGATACATCTTGTTTTACGGTGCAGTTTTGTAAAATAATTTTCTTCTGACTGGCATTTGAACGCAATGTTTTTTTTCCCCAAAATAGCATCTTTGCCATACGATTACCATTTTCACCGGTTGACCTTCACTGTTATGCATCACTAATGAGCCGTCTACCTTTTGCCCTGCAGATCACAAACGCGGCCAGAACTGGCTGCCAACTGGTTATGTCTTGTGCCCCGGACAGGATATCATCTTATACTGTAAGTTTATTGAAGAGACACTACAGTATAGATGATGTACTATCCAGGGTCTCATTCCCCCCGACGGCACCATTGGCGCACGCTCTCGCCTAACCGACTGTGGCAGGCTGTACGCTCCGCAGAGGAGAGGCCGTCAAACCGTTACCTTTACTGAGTTTCAGTTAGGGTAAGGGTTATATGGCCCTCGCTCAATGTCATCTGGGCCGGGAGGACGAAGAAAGTCGGTGATTGATGTATTGTATGTGAACCTCTGTGAACCGTCGGCATGTGAAATAAATCTTATGGCTTCCAAACAAACGAGTACCTCATTATTTTTGGTAAAACAAAACATCTAAATCGGGATTTCAGCGCTCTAAATATCTATAAGGATTACTTGAATGTGCTGGCTGGCGTACATCAGCTGTAATATTTTCCCGCAGCAGTTGGCTTGTCTAAGTGGTGATCTCTGCTGCGCGGCCGGCTTTATCTAATCACTGGGAAGCAGCCGCTGCAGAGAGCAGGGAGAGCTCGAGGGGCTGACACAGCTTCTGTGAGACATCCGAGGCCTCTCCCTCCCTCCTGTCGCCCCTCGCTTTAGGCCACTAGCTGGTTATTCATCAAGATGCCCCGGATAGAGTAACGCGCCGAGTTAACTCACAGGCAAGCGGGAACGAATCCAATCACCATTATCTGACCCATTTTAGCATCAGGTTAGTGCTCTATTTTGCCATCCATTAGGGAGACAAGTCTGCCCTCGGGGGCAGAGCCGGGGCTTTATAAGAGCCAAAAAAGCAAGAGGGAGGAGGAGGAGGAGGAGAGGGAAAGGGGAGAAGAAAGCAGCGGAACAAAAAGTGATAGTCGCGGGGATGGATGGCCACACTTCAAAGGCAGTGGAGAGGGCTAAAGTGGTGCGGGAGAGTGTGTGTGTGTGTGTGTGTGTGTGTGTGGGGGGTGGATGGTACATCGGGGACATTTGAGTGAACATGACTGTGCAGGTCCCGCTAGGCGCGAAGTGCTCGCCAAGTAACAAAAAAAAACTCCGAGAGCCAAAAATAAACCACCGGCCTTTTCACAGCTCGCCAGACCTGCTCATCCATGAGCACACCGTCGAACTCGTGTCAAAACATCCATTTGGTGGGAGTCCGCGTCATGTTTGTTGCCTAAAATATATCTCTGCTAAATACATGCCAATAGTTCGGTTCTGCAGCTCGTCTGGGCCGCTTTTAATAAGAATATTTTCAACACTTTACAGATTTAGATGTGTCAAATTGAATTGTAGTTAGGGCACTCCTCAGTTTATAATAATAAACTATTATAATAGCAGCAACTTAGAGGTAATCTGTCAACATAAAAATCTTTAATAACGTCTTCTGAGACTGCACGAATGAAGACAGAGGATGCAGAAGTCAACATTTACAGTTCTTCTTAACAGGTCCATCTCAGTGGGAGATCTTATCCTTTGTTCGACTCTTTGGGTCTGTCCTTTGCAGAGAAAAACAAAACACACGAGAAGAGTCGTCTCAAATCACCTCTTCACCATTTAAAGTCCTTCCATCTCTCTTCACTTCCTCAGCTTGACTGTGAGCTTCAGCTTTACTTCCCTCAGGAAGACGCGGCTCAGGTCCTCAGCCGCCTCTCGGGCAATGCGCGCTACGATCTGGCCGGCTGTGCCGATCACCATCCTCTGGAACACGACAAACACATCAGGCACCAGTGAATAGATGGGACCATTAGCACCATTTTTGATGAAAGAAGCCTGGTCCATTTGTGCATTTTTCTAATATTGATAAGTTATTTAAATATCTATAAACTATAAAACAGGTTCTACCCGTCACTCCTGTGAAAGAATGGTCCGAGACTCAAACATTTCAGCACCACAGATGTAACGTTGAATATTCTTTGCCATCAAATATGTATGGTTTGGAAAGTCTGCTCAAATATTTACAAGTTAAAAACACAAGGTAAAAGAAGGAATGTGGAGAAACGGCAAATAAATATTAGAAACCATCAGAGGCTACAGGTGGAGAGAAAGATTTCCCTTCCACCAGTCCCGTGCCTGCCTCAAATCAAACAGGGACATTTCAAACTGTGGGAATTCTTACGGAGTAGTTTTTGTTTGTACTGCATTCATGTTACACCTGATTTACGAACAGAAGACATTAATTTGAGTGTCCTGATCGTGATAAATTTACAAGACATACAGTACATATGTCAAAAACCCATAAATGTGTGGCGAGCACTCACCATGTGAGTGTCCTTCTTGGCATAAAGTTTCACAGAAATATCCAGCTCGCCGTTTTCTCCATCTTGCCAGAGTTCAATCGACTGAAACGGAAACATTTAAATATTAAAACTTCTACAAAAGGTCAATAACGTGTCGGTCAACGCGGAACAGCAGCTGTTTTCCCACCACTACATATCCCAGAGTGCTTTGCATGTGTATTAAAGATGTCTGACTGGGTTGTCCAAGTGTCAAGTGTTTTGCATTTCTATACACGTTAGTTTGTCACAGAACAAATCAAGACTGTGCTACGGTTTGACTTGGTGTGATTCGACACCTTTAGATGTCGGGAATCTGCAGTAAATACAGGAAGAAAAAAAACATGATCATTAACATGCAGAGAGCAATAAAAATAAAGAAATAGCACAAAGTGTAGCAGGTGGAGGCTGATGCCAAAAGCTGCATCAAAGAGCATGTCGAGTGAAAGAGTATGAAGGGCATTAAATAAGCCGCAGAGTCGGTGAGATGTGATGGGTGTCGTCAGTGAGCTGTCAGCTTATCATCACGCCCGACTTACAGAGTGTCCTCGCAACTAAAATAAACTGCTTCACCTGTGTCATTGAATAGGGCACTTCCTGGGGCAGACACTCCAGCAGCTTCTCTCTGACGATGTTGGTGCAGACCTCCTCTGGACTCTGGTCGGTCAGGACCTCGCTGTGGTACTGCCACGGTCCCGGTTTGGCCCCGACCATAAAGTATTCCTATGGCGGTGAGATAAAAAGCATTGCTAATGGCATCCAATAGAAATGAAAACCAACCGATACTAAATAAAAATGAGACTGGAATAGATATATCCAGTAAAACTAACAAACAGTTTTCCCTGCTGTGACCATAACCTAGAACGTGTACCTTCAGCGTCTCCACGTCCTCTCTGTCCACAGCAGAGAGCATGAAGATGTCCTTGAAGTGAGGCCAGCCCTGCTGGCTCTTCAGCGCCTTCAGCTGCTCTTTGCTCAGCACAGAGTTCGGCTCGGCGCTGCCCTCGGGCCCCGCGCTGCCGCCGCCGTCCTCGTCGTCAAGCGGCGACTCCGAATCCATCTCCGGCCTCTTTTCAGCCAACGGAGGCCTGATCACCGGCCTGACGCGCATTTGGCGTCCGTTCACCACTCCGCATGTCAGCTCGGCCGTGATGTCCAGCAGCCGGTCCTTGGCCTTGACCTGGTCCACCTGAGAAACAGAGGAGCATCGGTGAAGACACCCGTCAGCAGTGCCCAGCTGTTTGATGAAATGATTTAGCTTTCTGAAAAAACAAAACATCCATGACTCTTTTATTAAGATGTACGTCTTCAGCAGCATTGAATGGGCCTGTATCATTCTGGGGTAGAATACCTTATTGAGCACCAGGATGGCGGGGATGTCGGGGTGCTGGGCCAGGCATTTGAGCACCTCGAAGTCCAGCCTGCTGCACATCCATCTGTCCGCCACATCCACCAAGACCACCACTGGGAAAGGACACAGTTTCATTCATAAGCCATTGAAACTCAGCGCTATATTTCACTCTTCACGTTAAATCGGTCATACGAAAACATCAAAAGGAAAACTGCGGCTCGGGTCCGAGCTCAGAGTGAAGTTATAACATACTTAGGTCGGCTTCTTTGACCGTGTTCCAGGGATCCACGAGCAAAGTCTTCTCCAGCTGGTGTCTGTGGAAACAGAGGGTCCATTCATATATTATAACAACACTGCGTATAGACGGCAGACTTTGACACATGCCAAAAAAAACAAAAACAAAGACAGGCACCTTTTGACCTTCGATACAGTGGTGAGACCAGGAGTGTCCAGTAAAATCTAGACACAAAAGAAAGCACTTATATGTATCAACATTTGGATTTTTAGATGGTATCATAACAGAAGAGACATGAGAAGGCTCTTACTATCTGCGTATCATCCTCTGTGAGGACGCCCAGGGCTCGTGACCGCGTCGTGTGCACTTTCTTGGACACAGCAAACACCTTTAAGAAATAACCGTTGGCTTTACAAAGTGACCTCCGCCTCCTTTCTCGCCCCCTCAGGGAGACGGATACATTAAAAGGTGTGCAGGTTCAAGAGAGAGACAACTTGAGACAAACACCTTTCTGCCAAGGAGCTGATTGGACAATGTGGACTTCCCGGCATTTGGGGCGCCAATTATGGCCACCTTCAAAACCTTCGAGTTGTCCGGCTGATCTGGATGTCTCAGCAACAAAGATAATTGTTCAGCTGAAAACACACGAACACAATGAATCATTCGCGAGACAATAAGAGTAAATACAACATCAGATTGGTGGCAGGGTGACGTCGGCAGAATTTGATCAGACGCGTCTGGGGATGTAAATCTGGGAGGCAGAGGTCTGATTACCGCTGTCCGGCGGAACCGAGGCTGGAAGGCGATAAAGGCTCCCGTCTGCCTCGGCTGCTTTGCCTTTCATCAGTCTGTCGAGAAATGCCTCGGATGTAATAAAACAGGCGGGCATGAAGATAAATCCGGCCCTCCCTCCTCGGCTGCAGGCAGCGTTTCCTGTAAAGACATCAACATCTCCATCACTTCGCTGCCAGCGCGCGCTGCAGGGAGGCTGATTCATTGCGCTCGGATGCAAAGTAATGCATTCAGATGGTGCTCCTCGTAAACTCGTTCATTAAATTCATTACAGAAGCCTCCGAAAGATCGCGCAGATGGTTTTGCTAAAATGTAACTGTTAAATGTTTTACACAAAAATGACACGTCAACTTGTTGCTAAAGCCATAAATCATTATTTTATTGTTATCAGTAACGATAGCTCAAACTACGGCTGGAATGATTAGTCAATTAATAACTGATTAAGTCATTTATCAAGAAATGTCAAAAATGTGCTGGTTTGATATATAAATGTGAGGATTTGCTACTTTTCTCTATTTCATATTATTGTAAATTACATAAAAGTGAAATGTCACTAAGGTTTGGTCTGTCTTCAAGCTATTTGAGGACATCACCTTCTTGTGATGGAGAGTTTTAGCACGTGCCTTCATCATTTCAAGTGTTTATTGTGAAAAAAAATCTTCAACACATCCCTGCAACAAATGCAGGGATGTGTTGTAGGATGACCCTGCAAAACCTTCAAAGACATATAATAAGACATAGAAAACCACTCTGCCTATGTACCTCATTAGTAATTATTTACATTAATACCATCTTACTCCTTCTTCCTCACAGAGAAACACAGACTGAGTGTTGGATACAAGCCATCTCCCACTTAACCGCATGAGTCCATCCTGTCTAGTGTTCAGTGGAGGTTTCAGGGTACACATCACACGTGAGCACAGAGGGACTTTCCTCTTTCAACAGATGAATGAAAAACAACCTTCTGGTGTCAAACTCTGCACATCCATCAGTTTGCACAGTGAAGCTCAGACATGCAAGTGAAGTAGCAATAAACTAAACACATTTTTGTGTGTGAATATATACTTTTCAAATTAAAAACCACAACTTTTTCACCTCCCCTGTTGTCATTATCATTGCTGTACTGTGCTTGTACCATAGACGGTATACACTGCACTCTGTGTGTCGCTCTGCTCCCTTTAAACGCCAGTGAACGCTCAGCTGAAGGTCACATTGTTTTTAAACATTCATCCCATACCCCATCTCTCGACAAGCAGCCCTACACATTCCTTTGCTACGTGAATGTCATTAAATGAGCAGCAGAGACGCTTGTGTTGGGACTGACCCGCCGTGAGGAACCATGACGCACTTTCCTGTCGAGCACACGCGCCGGTGACCAGTCTGGAGGAGACGGTCGAGTCTCTGAGGAGCCGAGCGCACACTCTGAGAGCCATTTTGGGCTTCGACAAGCAGCTTCTGTTTCAGAGGATGTGACAGGTGCCGTCGTCTCAGAGGTGAGCCGCTTGTTTACGTTCACGTTGCCTGCGGAACCATGTTGCTTTGACCAAAGAGGAAACGACTTCCGCTATGAAGAGCGTCCTCGCGGAGGTTTGGGTGGAAGCTACACCGCCCCCTGGCGACCGATATGTGAACTAAATGATGCTCTTCGTCCTGTGTGCTGTCTGTTACAACCATCACACAAGTCTGAAAGTAAATGCTGCTCCTCAAAACTATTGAGGTAGAATACCACTTAGACCACGAACTACTCTTAGTTTTGTCATTGTAATGGTTGATGTGACTTGATGGAAGCTACTTATGCTACATGTAGCCTACATGTTGATATTTATTTAACTCCCATGACTCAAGCAATATTAATGAGGACAAATGTACACCATTCAATTTAAAAGAGCTAACTGCTACAGGCCTTAAAGCCGTTTTGACATGCACAATAATTACACCCTTGTTTATACTTTTACATGTACATTAATATGTTTGTTCGCTTTTTGTTCCAGCAAACCCTCTGTAATTCCCAGAATACACCTGGGGCCCCGGTTTGGGACCCACCTGTCTACAGCAGTTAGGATCTGTTCAGCCAGTGGCAACTCCACATCAGCTCATCACGGTGCACAAACACATCTGCCGACACCAGCAACACAAGAGTTTAAAAATCGATGAGCGTGCTCAAAAGGATCTCTCAACTGGGGTGCTATTTTCTGGATGACATCGCGAGGGATGGTGCGCATATGACCACAAATCAGATTGCACCGTGTAGACTTTCCCCCCCCCCCTGTCCCTTCTTGTCCCTTGAGTACACAGAGCAGAGCTCATCCCCAAAGGGTGCTTGAAGCGCAGTGGTGTCAGTGTTGTTGAGGATATATATCGAGCATGCACGCTCAGAGCAGTGTGCCAGCCCGAAGAGAACAACACACAGCAGGCTCTCGCACCCTGCGGCTCCTCGGCGCTAATTCACGATGACAAGCTGATATAATGACTTGATAACCATGAAGCCTGTAAGGTTAATCATCACACTAAAAGGACACCGTTTTGCATATTGATTGATTACTGTAACATGTTGTTTTCATTGTGTGTGGCAAAGCCAGGCAGAGCAGATGTCTCCCCGCAGTCCATCAAACGCGCCGGCTGTTAGTCCTCGAGGACTTGCTCAGGGCGGAACAAACACCTCCACTGGGGAGGATGATGAAGGATATCAGGTATCTCACAATCTGTCATCATCTAACTCTAAAAGCTCGGCAGCAATAGAAGGGCAACAAAAAAATGGAGCTTTTAGCAGACACTTACTGCCAAATTCCAAATGAACCAGAAACCAAAAAGGATATTTGAGGATCAGTAATGTTTGAACTTTCTCTCTATCTGCCTCCCTCCCACTCTCTCTCCCTCTCAAATTCATTCAAGGCCCTTTTCTCCCTCCGGGCTTTCCTCACATGGCCATTTCACGTGGGAGTGTATCAGAGTTCTTTCTATGACTGCATTAACTTTGGCCTTCAGAAAGAGCTCTCTCTCTCTCTCTCTCTCTCTCTCTCTCTCTCTCTCTCTCTCTC